TATATATATATAATTCTTCCTCATTACCCTGTGACACCAGTACTAAGCATGTGATAAAACCAGATGAAACAACACACCTTAGAAGAGTACATGAGAAGTACAAATAATCCAAGTACAACAGTAACAACAATAATAAAGAGCCTAAAAGGATAAACAAAGTTAATTTCTCCAGACAAAGACAAAACCCAGCAGTATATACTCCAACAAAAACCCATTTTGTTGATAGGTGAAGTGTAGATGTTAAATTCCAGAGAGAGTGGCTCTTTTGAATCGACAGCTCATTGCTGGGCCTATTACAAAGTTTTAACTATTCCATTCAAAAGTACAGACTGAGAAAAAACAAAAAGATACCAACTAATCCATAACAAAGTAAGACGATGTCTGTGAAATGAAGACATAGTAGACTATGGAGAAAAAATAATTTTCAAGTCTTCAGAAGGTAATTATAAAAATTTCCCTTAAAATATTAGCTGTAAGGACCCATTTGTATATCTTTGGGGAGATAAAAGCTTGTTCTAATTCTTCAAATGCTTTTTTTTTGTGAAGAAGTTCAGAAACTCATGCACAATATTGTGTTACCGAGAAAGCTAGGGGGTTTTATTCCTTATTATTGAAGACAATATATTGTATTGGTCATGTAAATGTTTGCTGAAATAAAACAGCACTCAGGGCAATTTTGACCAGACTGATAACGATTCTAGTAATGAACATCAACATATGCACCATAGATGGCAGGAAAAAACCTAAGTGCAGATCAGATGTTCAGTTCTCAACCAATACACAAGAGTTCTTCTTAACATCTGGACAGCTATTTTTTTGCCTAAATAAAATGTAACATCTATTCTAATATGCAAACACACACAAGTGTACTTACTACATAGTTCCCAGGAGATGCTGAAGAATAAGGTATCTGTAATATCAACAGAAACAAAACAGTGACTTCTTCTGCAGTGAGACGCATATATACAATATATGTACATATATATAAATATATGTACATATGTACATATGTACATATATTTATGTACAGCTGTAGGTTAATGCTTATTTGTTTAATTTATTTCAAAGACACAGTTAAGGATTGCAGAAAAATGGTACTGTTGTCAAAACAAACACCTCTTCTTTTCCACAACTTGTCCTTGTAAGTATGTTCCAGTTAAAAACTATCAACATAGACACAACCCAAATTTAATACCCAATATATCAAATAAAGATACTTCCATTTAAGATTACTGTGCCCTGGTAGCCACTCTAATGAAATCAATATGAATAACATAATTCACACATTTAAATGTCTGTAGGCTGAGGTCTAATATCTGCTATTTTTTCATAGTGAGGCATGCATTTTTAACAGCCAGCATCCCTCTTTTAAGATACCAAGTTACAAGCCCTAGTACCAATTCAGCTCTTGCATCTACTACAATAGTCTTCTTATTCTTAGGGCAGGAGCCACAATAAGCTCTGTAAAGATCTGCAGTCTATAGTAAAAGGTTAACCTGTAAGATTATTAAGGTAATACATTTTATAAGGTTTATAAAGTTAAGCAGCACATACTTGCATTTAAGTCAATAGGACTTCAGAGTCATCCCAAGCACAGACTGAATTAGCATGTTCTTATATATACTTAATCTTGATTAAAATCTTGACCATAAAAGGAAAAGCAACTCTCTTAGGTCTCTCACCCTAGAAGATTCTAATTTTATGTCTTTGCATTTTTTTTTTTTTTTAAAAAGGACAGTGTTCTATTTCCATTTCAAATTCAATTGTGGTTTTTGTTACAGAGGATATGTGGAGAAATCCAGCTGCCTGCAAATAATCCGGCTTTCCTCCTTATGATACCCTTTGCAATTATTCTCTCTAAAGGAGTACGGACCAATGATATCATAGGAGGATGGGGTAAGAATTAAACAACTGTACTGACAAAATACACAATTATTCTGTAGCATAAGCATCTTACATGATTGTAGACAGCTTGTCAGCCAACACATTTTTACAGATACATCTATTACTGGACTTCTCAATTAATTGCACAGAATTAAAATATTTCAACTATCAGTTAAAAAACATCTTAGCATCCATTTTAGTTGATACATGCAAAAGAAAACTGAGGAAGAGTTTCAGCTCTTTTTTTTCCCTCAGTCATCATCAGTAGAATATAATAAATCAAAATTGAGAACAACAGGAAGAACCAGGCTACTCTGTTACGCCAGACACATCTTAACCAACTGCAAGTGCTAAAATGGGACACATTTTTATACTAATGATGTATGACCACTGAATGAAAATGAAAGCTTTGCCTTTGTGTTTTCTGAAGAAGTATCAGACACTGCTGTTCGTGTGGGATGCCTCACTGACCTCATCCTTCAAACTGCTATTAGGCTACTTCATTTTGTAATTGTTGCGACCAAATTCAATAGAGTGCTCTGCTTTTTACAAAAAGCATATAAAGATGGCTGGTGTCTTGCAAGCAATTGCTCTACGATTCCATATTACCTAGTTAAGAGCAGCAAATGTGCTTTTGTTATGTAAAATATGTGAGCACACATTAAGCTGTATCTTGACAAGCTGTGATTTCTGTAAAGCTTGCTGGCCATCCAGGGTGGACCTAACTCATCTTACTTGTGCTAAAGGAAGCTAAAATGTATTTTAAATATACCCCAGGATAACAATTGTGTTGTAACTGATGTGAAGATGCAGACCTGTTGTGTGATTATGAACAGAGTTGGATAGTTGCAGGTCAATGAGATCGCTGTTCAGATATGCTCCTCACTGTACCAGCTCTGCATTAGGGTAATAGAGAAAAATAAAAAGCATGCAGTATCTTACTTGTTGAATGAAGTGGATTTTTTTTTTCCTGCTGTATTGATGAGAAATACTTCCCTAAATATAAGATGATGTCAAATATGTTTTAAACATTTACTTACAGAATTGGCATTGGTTGGGTTTGGCCAAGGTCTACCACCCCCAGGACCCCTGTAACAGAAGACAAAAGATGAGGCACAGAATAATCTCCATTTTCTGACGAGCTCTGAGGAAGCAAGTCAAAATAATCTGTTTCCAGAGTAAGGAAGGAGATGGCTTTTATCCAAATTAAAGTGTGTTTATAAACCATAACTACACCAAGTTATAATGTTATAGCAAAATTCTCATCATTGCACTACCATCATAATTTAATCAGTTTATTAGTTTATTATTTATTTATTTATTATTACAACCCCACTGCTCACTTTTCAGACAGTTCAGATCCTGACTCATTCCGGTACTCCTGTATTCTCCGGCACAGGCCCTGCCTCATGACACCATGAGGAGTCCTTCCCCAGGAGCCACACTGTCAGGCGCTGCAGTGGAGATGGCACAGCTCCGCATCGGTCCCAAACACTTGCAAATTTAGGAAGTGCAAGCCATTCCCCTTTTATATACTCACTGGAAAAATTTGAAAGACCTTGCAAATTTGCATCAAGTGCTTCCCTTCCTCTGTTCATGGAGAATTTAACTCTGTGTTACATAGATGCAACATTTTAATGTGGCACAGAGTTTTGCAAAGAGTAAAAAACAAGTTCCCAAACTCTTCTAGTTCTCACGAGGAGTGTTTTTTTTTTGTACTCTGTTAACCTTTTTAAAAATATTTGGAGGAAGTATCACACATTCCTAGAAAATCTACTTACTGTAGAGACAAAGGCAGAAAGGTACTAAAATGTAAGTGTAATTTCAGTCATAGAAACAGTCTTGCTTACATAGAATCACAGAATGGTTTGGGTTGGAAGGGACCTAAGTAAGTACCTTCCTGAAGAATTGAGGGTGCATGTATTTATTGAGTATGGATCTAGAATACTGCCAGCATAGTAAGGTTTCATTAGTGAAACTGATGCCAGTACATTATAAATGTTTTGGGAAAACCTGTTTTTTAAAAGAGCAAGCCACAGAAAATATGTTGCTATAACCTGTATTTGATGATAATAATAACAGTAACAATAAAAAATCTCATGTATTAAAAATTGAAAACACGCCATTTTATACATACGCTTTAAGCATATGTTTAGATATATATCTAAAAACAGTTTGCTACTTGACTAAGGCTACATTATCTCCACAGAGGTCACAGAAACATGAAATTTATGATACATCAGGCAAAATGGAAATTTCACACTTTTCAGACATTCTCGTCACAGTTGGCCCAAATGGTGTGCACATGATTAAGTGGCAGCTCCCCAAGACTGCAAGAGGCAGAAGACCTGTGTGATGAAGCCAACTCCAACGAGACATCAGACGGGTACTAAAAGCAGAAGGAATGGGGAAAGGAAAAAGGAAAACCTGTCCAGATAGAGCACGTTTTACTCACAACTCTTGCTGTTATTTTAAGTTTATCACTCTTAGCTGAGGTCAGAAGAATAGTTTGGTGGTTAGGCTTTGTCTTTTAACAGTCTTGAGGGAACTAAGCCATATGGGAGGTAAAATCTCCATGTTTACCCTCATAACATCTCAATAACCATAATTATTCCTAGGAGCATTAAGAACTCTTAGTTATTTATAAATACGACAAAATCACTTTTTGAAGGCCTGGCAACTGAAAGGCAGAGCAGATGACAAAACTTTTGCATTTAAAATGGCATTTTGGCCTCATTAGCTTTAGAAAAGCACCATTAGCCACGACAGCTTAGCAGATATGGGAGAGTGATTTAAATACAAAGAAAGCAGGCTTTATTAATGAGTTCAGGAAGTTTTCTATCTATTTTAAAGTCTTGCAAAACTAAGGAGCATTTGTAACAACACTGGAAGTCTGTTTTCACTCCAAAATCCCACACTTGTTTGTGTGACATTAAATAACACAAATATACCCAGTGAAAAGCATCAAATGGAAAATGGCTATGGCTACACTGCAGAGTACTCTGAACAACAGAGATATTAAAAAGCTGACTCAGATACACAATTGGGTTAAGTCAAAGCAACATGGAAATTTAGATAGCTTACAAGAAGACAGGGAAACTCACCTTTCATCTAAAAAGCTGTTGGAATTGTCAAATTTATTGGAAGCCACGGACAGCTCTAAGTATAGACTTAGAAAACACTGTGGCAGATTCTGCTGGAAAGCCATATGGTTTTTGTGGAGCCAAATGTTGTCAGCTTATAAAACACACATAAAAACCTAGCTACCTGCACCTTTTTCAATGCAAGGCAAGGAATTTTTTCCCCTTGTATTAAAAGTTTATTTTGGAAACTTTAACAGAGTCATAAAACATCATTATGAATACATTGATTCCAAAATAGATTAATTTATGAAGTATCTATCACTATGACTAATTACAGCTGCATTTTATCCTTGAAGTTAGTCCTATAGCATTGATCATAGTACTTGAAAAAATAAAGTCTAAAATTTCAGTTTCCCAAGGGGCAAATATATTCAATCAGGAAATTAAACATCTAGACACAAGTTTGTGAATTGAAGTAAAAGAATAAAATCACTTTTTTTTTTTCTTTTCAGGCATGACTGAGATACTTTTAGTGCTTAAGACAGCACTGCAGGTCATACGGGCCATTAAAAAGTGCCAGTGAAATGTAACACTGCTCCCTGACATTTTCCATTTTGTTCCAAAGAGGGCATTTTTCCACAAAGAAAGAAAGTCTTACTAAAAATGGCCACACCAAGTTTCAACTTGAAATCTTATAGCTAAAATAAAATTATTTTGAAGAAGAACACAGGATATGTATCAGCTAGTTCAATCCATAATCTGATAGGCATTAGTTATGACTGAGTAAGCAATTATTTAGCAATACTACATTTGTGGAGTATATGCTCCTGAACTGAAATACTGTCTTTGAGCTCCCAGGCTGGTTGTTGCCATTTTTGACAATAAAGAACACTTTTTCATCCAGAAAAATGTAAAATTATATCTGGCAGATACTCTGCTCTTAACCAAAATTTCTTCCCTTCAAGCCTTCCCAGGAGAAAAAGCGAGGTTTTAAAATGGCAACTGTTTTTGTAGAGTACACGTTTTTGTATTTTAGCATTGTCAAAAATCCAAAAACATTGAATAGAACAGATTCTAAGATTTTAATGTAAGAAAAAGATATGGCTATGTAAAGACAAATGTATGTTACTACAAGGCAATACCATTATGTGTAGTTATCCTGTTTCCTAGAAATGTAAGTAAGTACACTGTTGCTTCTTAGCACTGTGCACTAGATAAACTGTAAGGAATAATACAAAGAATGGATTTGACATAGCTGGGTCCATTTATTGCTGCTCCCTGCAGGTTATCCTTGGATGCAGTCTGACTGATCCTCAATGCTCGAATTGACCAGACAATGAGTCTTCACTAGGATTTCAGTGTAAGGACAATTTTGACAGCAGTAACTTCACAGTAAGCAAAAAACCTGACGTCCTGGAAATACCACTAAAAGAAACCCAGACCATGTAACCCTTTTCTTTTCCTTTTGATCAATGTATGTCACTCCATTTGGCAGAGGAAGATAATTACTCAGTTTGATGGTAAAAATAATACGCATAGTAAGGTATGCAATAATGGAGCTCCTTGCAACGGTCTATGATTCAGCCTGTAACAGAGCTCAGGATAAGCATAATGTTCCAGTACTCGCACTTTGGACTCTCTTATGCCTTTAAAGTAAATTATAACAAGCAAAGGAACAGTATGAAGTCTTGTTCAAAACCAAGAAAGAGCATTCTGTTCCCACTTTCAGTTGAGCTGGAGTAAAGATGAGTTTGTAAGAAATCACAGAATAGTAAGGGTTGGAAGGGGCCTCTGGAGATCATCTAGTCCAAATGTAAAGGAGTGCAGTATATGCCTGGTAAGATGTGGAGACAGCTATGGCTACGTACTTCATAATTATTTCTTTACTTCTTGTTCTTCCCAGCAGATCATATACTATATTAAAGTTCATCAGTTTCCCAAGTAAAGGACTCCAATTCATGATGTCCCCTTGAAGAGGACATACAAGTTCAAAAGAAAATGTAATTCCCACATCACTGAATTAAAAGAACCTGATCTATGTATGTTCACCGGCTCAATACAAGATGAAATGTGCTTATTAAATGCTGCAATATGGAAATGTTAGTATTTCAGCCCATAACCATCTTCTCTCTTTCTGGCGTACCAGGAATTCTTTTTGTCATCCAGGAACCTGTTTTCTTATTTTTCTTACATAAACTCTCCACTCTATGTGGATAAGTAGCCTACAATATCTTACCTACCCTGAATTTTAATTCTACAACATTTTATTTTAGAAAGTTAATTTTCTTTTCTTATCCTTATTAAATCTCCTCCTGAGGACAATCCATGTAGTGCTTATATTATACTCACACTGAATTTCAAATATCTAAATATTTTTTCTACATCAATTTTACTTAAAAGAAGAAATGCCTACCCTTGGGAAAGTTCCTAGAACTGTCTTGAGTCCAATATATGATGTCTATGATAGAGTAACACCCAACTTTAGACTTAATTTTATTTTCTTCAAGAATTCAAGATATGTCTGGAAATCAGAAGAAATTAAGGATATGGTGGATTAGATATTTTTTCAACAGTATTTTCTATCTCAATGCCTCTTTTAGTTTTTCATGTTGGTAACTCTTTACTTGAAATGAAATTTATCATCTCTTGTTTGTTTCCTATAAAAATAAGAGTAAAAATGGGTATCTATGATATAATGGTAACAAGCATATATAAATATTGACTGTTGTTTTCTGTGTTGATCTTCTGAAAACTCATTCTTGAAAGACAAAGATGTAAAAGGAGTAAGAAAAGGAGATGCTCTCTGCTTTAGATTGTGACAAGACACATTCTAGTGTCCTGATAGCTGGACCACAATACCATCTTTTGTGACCACCTCAGGGTCTGCAAAATGCTGGTTATGAAAAAATGTGCTAACTTCAGCAGAGGTAGGGCTAGGATAGAAGAGTGACTTGATAATCTTTGGTCTGTGTTAAGCTAAAGGTAACTATAACAGTCCCTTAAAATCTGTGAATCTCTCTCTTAAGAGAGAAATCTAAATAATACAAGGAGCACCTTACTTTCCCTTGGGCTTGCTAATCATTTAAGCAACTCCAGGCAAGCAAAACATTTATCTAAAGTGCACAAGATTCCTCATATTGGGATACTTGCTATGCTAAAATCTTCAGCTTAAATCTAGTCTACTTTAGATACAGTCATTTCACACGTGAAATTTTTCTACATACTTAGAAAGGGGAGCTGTCTACAGGTATAAAAGGCATAATACACTGCCATGACTAAATCCATGCTTGGAGTAAAGCAGTATAGCTTAACTGAACTCAGTCTATATCAATTTTTACTGAATGATGATCCAGTCCCAGAAGTACACAGAGACACTGAAAACCTTACACTCACATCTGTAATACTCTTCTATCTGTTTAGAGTGGAAATGAATGTAGTTACGAAAATAAAAACAGCAACACAGAAAGAATCATCCATATTTCTTTTTTCAAATATGTCTTTTTTTATAAATAGTTCTAGACAATGGTTTTGTTTCACTAGAATAAAGTACTTCTTTATTTTGTAGAAAAGAACCATATTTACATATTTTACATATTACCATCATTTACAAAATATTTAATCAATAAAGTAAAAAAAAAGTATAAATAATGCCATTTTTAAAAAAATGCATACAAGGAGGTATCAGTGGCTATATTGACAAAATATTCCCAGTATTTGAACTTTGACCTGTGAAAGAAACTGAGTAGTTGTACAGACTTGTAGGGACAGCAAAGGTGCCTGTAAGAGATGCATGCAAAAGAAGAAAACTGCTGTGGGTTCACTTTTTCAAATTTCTGTTATTAGTCATCAAAGCATGTTTCTTACCAAAGCATGTTCTCCTTGTCTTATGTATCCCAAATGTTACTTATACAATGAAATAATTATTTTTTTCTAAATATTATAAGATTTTATTATTGTGCTTACATGTTCATTCCAGGCATCCCCGGGCCACCTAAAGCATTCAGTGGGGGTCTCATTGCACCTCCATAGTTCTGCAATGATAACCAAGGGTCAGACTACCACAAAACAAAAAAACAAAACCAAAGAGGAGGGGGAAAGAAAGGACAGCAGGTTAATGATATCCCTACATAACTGCTGACTGGATAGGCCAATGAAATTCATTGTTTCAGGAGTTTCCATTGTTGACTTAAAAAAATAATATTGTTAACCCCAGGGAGAAAGAATTACAAACAACAGAGAAAGTCCTAAGAATACTTAAAATGTCAATTGTTTCAGGAGGAATTATTTACACATATAGAGTTCTAGTCAATGGTCAGCAAGGGGCAGTTCTGTAATGTATTCACTTTTATACCAAGGGAGCTCAGAAACCTGAACTTAGATTCTAAGATTTCTACATCATGGAATTTAAACAGAATTTTTTAAAATTATATTTTGTTAGGATATCAATAAATGCTTGTATAAAATTACACCACATGATATCACTTTTAAAACATACAGCATAACCATTACATTTCTCTAATAAGTCTATGGTAAATAATACGAAAAGTATTTAATATGATAATGTATGTCATAGTGATGCCAACAAATTAATTGCCCAATGCCTATAAAATCTGAGTTTGTGCTCTGATATTATGACAAAAGTTTAACTGTACTACTTACATGAAAAATGAAATTATACCTGTTTTTATTCAGACGAATACAAGCGAAACAGTCTATCTTACCTCACAATCATAATGCACTCCCTAATCTGTGTTAATCCTGCTACATTTTTCTAATGAACAGCTGTGCATTTTCAAAAGAGGGAGGACAAAGAAGCAACTTTAAAAACAGTTAGGTCATTGTTGCAGTCTATTGTGCAATAATAAAACTAATATACTCTATTTCATGTATAATGTACTACAAACTGCTATGTGACTCAGGTTTATAGATGTTCTCTATATTGGTCTGATTCACAAAACCACGTGAACATGAAGTCATAAATAGATGGGAGAAATCCAACAGTGATATTGAAAGTGCGGGTCCGGTGCTGCGTGTACCTTGACTGATACGACATATCAGTTATCAGGAGCTGATCTAGAACTGATCTATAACTAGGAGAGGAGGTTCTGTTGCTGCAAACGAAAACCTCAAACTTAAAATTTTCTTCATTGGTAACAACCCTGAAAATATTCCAGACCCAACAGTGCCATCTGAAGACAGTATTATCCACAGCTGATGGCCATCAATTGCTACTCACTCCTGTCACTCCTGCCTTTTTGAGTGCAGCTGGTAAACTGACTGGTGCGCACGCTCAGGCAAAGGTCAGACAGATTAACTCAAACCTCCTGTTTAACCTAGGTTATCCTAGATGATTTTGCCTGAGTAACTCCTCTGTCAGAGAGTAGGGCAGTAACTGGTGGGTAGTCAAAGCATCTGGGCACAGTAACATCTCCAGTCGGCACTACTGGATCTGGAAGAGAACTGACTGTAACAAAACAGCAGTTCTGTATCTGTTATATTTAATTTTTCCATCCTGATGTGGAGGGCTGAGCTATTCTCCTTCCTTGGTCTGTCTGGTATCTCCTCTCTTTATTTTAATTCAGGAATCATCTGTCTGGACCAGGGTTAAAGATCTCTATGGAAGACTATGCAGGACTGGAAGAATCCTAATCAAATGTACTTCTAACTAATTACTGCTAATTCTAATCAAATGTACTCCTTCATCCTAAAATAACAGCGCTTTCATTAAGGCTGCCAATATACATGTTCCTTCAGCTGCAGCTATGCTCTCTGCAGAAGTTAGTGTCCCAAATTGTTCCTTAAAGCTTTTTACTCAAAGTGACCAATGCCACAGTCTACCTGGTAGTTGAGTTGTTCATAAAAGTGCTCCCTAATGGCCAAAATGAGCCAGATTAGGCAAGACTTTTTTCATAAATATTTAAGATGACCCGATTCTTTTTGACAAGAAAGCATTAGGGAGCATGTGGGAGGCTCACCACCAGATGTGAAGGATGGGGAGAAGTGGTGGTCATGGACTGGAGGTAGCACCCCATTCATCTAGCGTAACTATGGCTTAAAAAAAAACCCTGAACCTCATTCTTTGGAGCTTTTCACAGATTCAAGCATTTCCAAACATCCACTGCTTTTTGCTTCGTGTAATTTAACAGTCTAGAATCATAAAATACAAAACTGAGGAAAATTTTCTGTAAGTTTTCAAGCAGACGCATCCTATACTTGCTATGCAGGATGTAAACATTTCTATATCAGCACATTAAGTGTTTTGCAGGTTTACTGCCTGTGCAGCAAGGTAGCAGGGCCTCCCACTACAGGCACACCTACGTCAACTTTGCAGCACTGTAGCAAGAAGACCTTAAAAGCAGGTGTGAAAGATTAATCAAATTTGTTTTCAGGACTGCATTCTGAGAAGATCCTAAATGCCAGATACAAAGATAGATTATGATCTATTTATAGAAAAGATTGATTTGTGAACTTAAATTTTGTGTAGATTAGCGACATTTTTCCTCATTTTAAGAGGATGTTCAGTACAAGTAGGAGGAACCTTACAAAAACACTGGATTTTAACAGACAGCAAGAATGGAAAAAATATCCTTATAAAAACTGGCATGAGATTTGCCTGCTGTGTGACTAATGCTGCTGCATAAAGTATCAGCTCAATCTCATGTGGCAGCATTGCAAAGCTTTTCTTTCTACCTCCAAAGGGCAAGTGGTAAATATACTTCAATGCTATAGAAAAAATAACAAATGTATTTAATAATGGTTTGTTGGTCACACAGCAGATGTTGCGTAGAATTGCACAACTGGTTTCTACCAAGAAGACCCAAAACTGTAAAGATAGTTATGAACAGATTTTAAAGGCAAAGCTATTTAATTGTTTAAAATTGAGTTGCTATTCCAAGGAACAAAGAAGTCACTAGAGAGATTATCTGAAATGGGGAAGTAAAAATGCAAAGTGTGGGCACAACAAGCACCCTGTAAAACAAAATACTGGTCACGCTGGTATGACATACCACCACCGCAATTTTCTCTCACTGAGACTGTTGACAAAATACAGAATATAATCTTTTGCATTCATATTTCAGGTATGCATCAGAATTTGTTTTCTACCTTAGTTTACTGTTGAAATGTAATACTGACAAATATCCACTCCTATTTTCACACTTTTGAAGAAAGAGCCTATGCACAATTACAACCAGGTCAGCACCACGGAGAAGTCTGATTCTGGCAATCCAAAGTTGCTTCAATCCTCAACAACAGAGCTAGAGAGATGCTTATGATTGACAAGGGGGAGAAACAGCAACATGAACTTCTCATTTTACATTAAAATCTCTTTAGCATTCACCAAAAAAATCTAGATCAATAGTGGATGAAAGAAAAACTTTACAGAATTTTGGGGATTTTTTTGGTACAAAGAGTTTGCCTAAGTTAAAAGTCTTGATAATTGTTTCCTCCTAAACAGCATAATCAATTAGGTTGGGAGGATGAGGAAACACCTGCTTGATCCTTGGTCTCCCTTACAAATGTCAGCCTTTGATTGCAACATACACTGGCTGTAGGACAAACACAACTTTTCTAAAATAAGCAAGTTAAGGGATTCCTCTTTTAATTTCAAATCTTAATTAAAATGACTGATGTTTTCATTTTACACTTTGTACAGTTGCAACTCAGAATCAATTTTTGTAAAACAGAAAGTTAATTTTAAAATGGGATTAGACGAACAAGTCCTGGCCATCTGCAAGCTATAGAAAACCAGAGTAATACAGTGTAAGTATAGGCCTATCTGTGGAAGGTACCTGTGGTCCTAACGGAACCATTCCTCTTGGAGGAGTCATTCTCTGCATCGGCCCACCCATGTTTGGATGCCCTGCAAATAAAATGATGTAACTTAGAAAACTATATGATACACAAGCACGTTCTAAAATAACTTTAACAAATCATTCCTTTTTAATTAAGACAAAGCTTAAAAAGCTGCAGTAAACTTTGAAACACAGAAAGAAAGACACAAGTTTGAGAAGACAGTACTTTTGAATGGTCAAAATAATTATATCATTCACCTTGCTGCCGTGTTGGGTCCATCCCGCTAGGCAATAATGGCTGACTTCCTGGGACACCTCCGAGTGCCTGCAGGCATAGAAACCGTATGTTAAAAGCACATAATGCTTTGAAATTTGTGATAAAGACATAATGCAGATATTTTGGTTTTAATTTCCAGATGTTTCTTCTGAGTCAAGAAGAGCTACCTTTCCTAAATGTCCTAACTAAATGTCCTAAGTGCCTAACTAAACTGGAAGTCCTGAATGTCCTATGATCCTGACTATGGATTTGCATGGACAAACTCTTGGACTTCTGTGGAATTATGCATAAATAATCTCAAAAATATAATCACCTAATTTGCTTTCCCCCCACCAATACTTCCCTTATTTTAGCTTACCTATTATTTAACTTCCAAACATTGTCTTTTTCTTGGCTACGTGGCAATTTATCTAAAGCTCATAGTGCTAGAGTTTTCCCTTGTAACCATTATTTTAACGTTTCCTTTCAGAGGTCAGGATGTGAACACTGATGTTCTCTGAGAGTGAGCTGTAAGTGAGCCAACCACACAGCATTCACAGGGTACGGTTAACTAGGGCTGTGATGTGGCAGGCATTTTATCTTCCACTCTGCCTTACTCTTGAAGGGCATCAGTGCCAAGATAACCTTATTATTCATCTACAGGAGATAACAACATTCACAAAATTTGCTCCTAAATTCTGCCTTCAGACATGAAGGAACATTGCTTTGTTACTTCACCTCTGGTCCAAATCAAACATGTTGCTTTTATGCCGCCACATTTTCATCTGCCCTTTGGGTTTATAGTAACTGGATTAGGTTTCAGGCTACTTTCTACAGTCTCCTGCCTACAGTTTAGTCAACTAGAAAAATGTTTCTATGAATCGATCCACTAGGTGCTATTTAGCATTTCAAAACACCACCACATTTTCAGTAAAACTGTATTGAGAATGAGTAAATCTGTTACTATGAAAGTATTCTACTCAGACACTACAGGTATTGCTTACTAAGGGAATGGGTAAGTAAGTTACTCTTGACCTGGAAATACTGTAGTACTCTTGCATACTTACAAAGGGGAACCTATCTGCAAATATTATACAGTTTGTTTCCACAAGAGGTAGGAAATGCAAAATTAAGATGCATGTTATTACCTCAAAGGTAATACAGTCAAAAGGTACTGCACTGCAAGATTAATGGAATAAACAAATAATCTGAGGCAACATCATCTGAATCAGAGTTTTACATGTACTTTAGTGGCTTGAAGTCTGGACAATACGTAACAACAATACATGAAGTGCATGGAGGAGTGTCAAATACTAGCAAAGCAGGAACTGGTCACTTCTGCCAGAGATGGCAGGTGAGACACAAGGACACGAAGGGATTTGCTGCTGTGAGCACACGTGGCCAAACGTAACTCATGCAGTCATTACACCACGGGTCGTTACGTGAGGCACCGTGGTGCCTTTCCAACATATCATATCACTTTTCAAGAAAAACAAGTGTACCTGCACAGCCCAAGGCATTGCCAACAGCAAATATCCTTGTAGGGCTTCATCTCTTAGGATGTGATTGAGTAGTGGAGGCAACTTAGGAGCACTAGTAGGGCACTTGGTTGATACTAACTCTCCTTGCTACAAAACCTAGACCTAGCTAGATAAGTCTTACACAGCATTGTAATGTGCTGTGCATGCATGCCCTGTATTATCCTTCCTTGCCTAAGAAACACAATCCGTACTGCAAGGCATTAGGCATTAGAGTTATAGTTACAGTGGGAATTTTAATTCTGATTTTTACTGACTTCCATCTAATCAAATTTTTAGGCTTAAAGCTGCACTACAATAGTTTATTACTTCCACACACTGCCCTTCTATACTGTAACATAAATAATGGCAGGGTTGTTAAAAGCAGCAATTCATGAATGTGGCATAATGTAAATTAATTGCAAGAGCTGTAGTACACTAAGATTATGTGATTATGGTTCAGCTCTGAACTGAAAATATCACAATGTGCAGACAAAAATGCTTCCGAAACTGAAACTGCAGGTTGGCAGCACTTTCACAGCATTCACCACATCCAGTTTCCACCTGTCAGTATTTACAGTGTTCAGAAACATAGAAAGAGAAACAAAGGAATATGTGAAACCCAAACACTGTTATATCATGGCCAAGATATTACTGAAAGATGCAAAAATCAGGAAGATATTTTCTACTGAGTTACAGTATGTCTGTAGCAAATATTTAACTAAAGTACTAATGACATTGAACTATTACATTGTCCCTTGATCACTTCAACAAGGTTATTTAAGTCACCCATTTCCCCTTGTAAGAAAATAGCTATGCTATAGGTACCTTAACCTGCTCCAAAACTCACCATGTTTGATTTGTAGAAACATTTGAAGAAGTCTTGTGACCTGATATATCCAGTTCACTAAATTTTAAACTTAAACTTTCTGGCAATATTGTGCCAGTGCTAAAGACAACTTTTTTGACACTGTGTTACACAGATATAAAAACCAGCCAGAACTGAGGTTGGGGCATAAAAGTCCGATCATCAAGCTTTGACAACAAAAAAGACAGTCCTGGAAGTCCAAGTTGGACCAAAAAACCCATTCCATCTGTCCTATCAACCTTTCCCAATATTGTAAATGACCCAGTTTTTCTTTCACAGCTCCACTGATATTTTTGTGTCTGCTTATCTTCAACTTTTCATCTGCTGACAACCACTTTCTTCCTCTTTCTGCACTACAGAAAACTTAAAAATACAAATGCTATCTGCTTGCAGAACCATCTTTTCACAGATGGGCCAATAAAGGTCTCTGCTGACGAACAGCACCTCATTACTCATTCTTGTTACTCTGGCATGTATATCCTTTGATGGAGATGAGAGAAAATTGGGAATCTGATGCTTTTATAAAGTCCTCAGAGTGTCTACAGAGCCACAGAGGACCTTATGATATGTGTTTCTCACCAATAATCTCCATATTTACTGTGAAATATCTCCATATATCCAACAAAGAATAGGAGGGTGTGATGCATTTTACATAGAACAAAGTAAAAAAACTCTCAGAGCTAAGTGCTTGATATGGTTAGGAAAGTTTAGAGAATGTAACAGCTATGGGGATGTTCTGCATCTCAGAGCAGGCAGCGTTGGCTGGCTGAGTTTAATGCAGCACCACACAAGGCAACTATGTCCTCCCTCTGCAGACAGGATTAACACACAATAAATTTTGAGGTGTAGACACACTAATTAAGCATAGGAAAGTGAGCTGGGAGTGGCATGGTCACACCTTATCAAAATAAATATTTCATGTTCAGACAAAATGGGGTGGAGAGGGACTGAGCAACTGTTGTAGCCACTGAGCCACTGGTAGCCAACGAGACAGCATTCCCTGTTCCCATCACTGCACCATCATCCTGGACCACAATGGTGCATCAGTGATAGATTCTTACCTGATTGGGTATTCTTAAAGGTGGCCTTGGACCTCCAGGGTACCGAGGGGACATGAAAGGCTACGAAAAACAAAAAAAAAAAAAAGAAAAAAAAAACCTGCTAAATAATTCAACTTAGCTTGTAAATACTGCATTGAGTCATTGGGCTTTTGCAATGCTCACACCTCAAGCATCCAGTTTAAATACTTTCACAGACCATTCAGTATATTATTCCACAATGTTTAGCAGAACTAAATAAATTTAGAGATTCTTAGCAAATGCATCTACCAGCATACATTATTTAAAATTTTGTTGTATCTATTGTGAATGGAGAATATAAACAACTTAATGTGTTAACTGTGAAGAATAATAAACCATTTAGATGATATAACCACCCAACTGTACTTTCCACTGGAGAAGGGAAAGATATAGAATATCTTTCTAGAATACAAAAAGAAAAATGTTTTTGGAAGAGTCAAGAGGTAAGTAACAGCAAGACAACTTGCAAATACTTTCCATTCACTTTTTCATAATAATACAGCAAAATGCAATAGAAGATTTAACTTGTGAGGCACAGATTTCAAGTTCATGTCACAAATAATTAGTGCTTTAAATGAACCACATTAATTCAGTGTTACTCCTCCCATCCCTCCATACATAACTCCACGCTCGCTCACTCACTCATTACATCTCCTCTCTGAAAATCAAATATACACCCAAATCTGTCATACCATCCTGCACCTTGTAAGGTTCTAGTGGCTCTTGGCTACTACTGCACTACTTTGAAGCCCATAAACAAGGTCAGTCCCATATGACAAACAAATGGTAGACCAGCAAACACATTTAACATCTCTACTTATTCCATCCCAAAGCGTGACAGTAATCTAGAAATCTAAAAAGCTAGGAGATTAGTGGCAACTGTGAAATCTGCAGGAAAAAGGCACAAACATCTGACTAAACAGATGATGAAGAGGATCATTTTGGCAAGCAAACATACCTATAACTCCAAAAGAAAATTCAGACCTGAAAGTACGCTTTGACTGTGAACACAGGGATAAAAATGACCCATTCTTTATATCATGAAAGAGCTCGCTTCTGTTCATGACACTGTCACTGGAGACATGGGAGAGATAAAAGAAAGGAGTCTGCTGGGACTTCCCAGGGGCAATTTCTGATGACAAATGATCTGCTGCACGTTTAAACCCACTCTTTGAGGATCTCTTCGAAAAGAAACAAATATACCTACACAGGCATCATCTATTCAGCTGTAGCTAAGGACCACTGGCAGGTCACTAAAAGTCTGTGATCAACGTCACTGTTTTACAAATGAATGGCGTATTTCAGCTCCATCAGCAGCTCTGCGTTATAAAGTAAAATGCCAGTGATCATCAATGTTAGTAATGCATGTATTAATAGTAGCAATAGGTAGCAAAGAATTGCAATTAAGTTACCAATAATTAGTAATGGAATTGTTCCTATGATCTTGCATGAAAAAATTTAACGGAACCTTTCACATCTGAGAATCACATGAAAGCTGAAATAACGTAACCTACATAAATGTGTGTTCAAAATAGGTAGTAGAAAGCAATTTAAATGTAGAGGGTTTACAAACTGGAGAAGAAAAGTTCAATGACAATTGTGAAAAGATTAATATAAAAGGCATTTGAAATTATGTGCTACAGAAGAGGGAGGCTTCTTCATGCCCTCTCTCTGACGGTGAGATTCTCTGATAAGAAAGAAAGGAAAAAGGATTGTGCATGTGGTGAAAGCTGGCCCCTGCAAAGCAGTAAAAGTGTGAGGAAATTAGAATTTCAACTATTTCCATAAAGGTCAACCAAGTGCATTGTATGGAGTGCAGCATACTCTAGGGAGTATCTTGGATTTGGCTGACCTCATTCAGCAAACGAAACCTGAAATTTATTTACAGTTGTACAGCCCATAAAAGGGAAATCAACAATGTCTCTCAAGTCAATCCTATCTTAAAGTAGAATCACACTACTAATATTAGTATATAAGACTGTGTTATTGGCTGAATATCTACTCCTTTCAAGCACAGGGGAAACCTGCTTGCCCTCTCTTCTCAGTGGGTTCACCTTGCCATGCAGTTTCTAAAAATACCTAAAAACTTGCATTTTGTATGGAATTGAAATTTTATTTAAAAAGCTGAAACAAATATTCCATTGCATTAAGGACAGAAAGAGGCTTACTCATATAAAGTCACAATCTCTCTTTTCAAAATACGACTCACATATTGTTTCTAATGCCTGACAATCGTATTTTTTGGTTTGCTGTGCCCCTGAGGTCAGTGGCTGCTTCAGATTTTTGAGAAGGTCTGGATCTAGGTAGGTCTCAAGTCTACTTAATAGTAGACTTCACAGAATAAGTCCAGGATTATTCTCTGAAATTATATATGGGGTTTTTTTAATTATTTTTTTTTAAGGCATTGTTTCCTAAGCAGGCCTCAAAGCAGACCTTAATTTGAAAGCCAGTGCTTCTATTCTGAACTGACTTGTTAGTTCACTGCATGGAATAACTACAGAAGCCTCTTTGATACACGTCTATCTTACAAGTAGGTTTATACACTGTAAATATTTATATATCTATGTATTCCCCTTAAACTTATTTGTGGAAGTATTAAAGCCTTCTCCCATTCTTTATGCAACTGAACTCAAGTGAAACTGCAGACTTCATCTAGTACATTTCAAATAGTTCCTATGGTTCCTGATGATCTATGGATATAAACACTGCACAGTTTTAAAGGCAGGAAAATATATAAACAACTGAGAGGCACAACTAATGTTTTGATGAATATAAGTATCAATAAAGGTCTCTATACCATTGCAGAAAATGGTGAGATAGTGATGTTCAAGGACAATTCTAAAAAATTTAGATTGTTTTGGATCAGCATTTAGTACTTAAATTTACCACAAAATTCTACCACCAAAAAACCCCCTTAAATATTCTAATTTTTAAGTCAGTTACTAAGCTTCTCTCTCCTCATCAGCAATGTCATGTTTGTCCACAAAAATTCTACTGAGACATATCAAGACACCAAGGAAATTCTGTCAAACATTTTAATGAAAATAAATTAAATAAGAATAGGTTCTCACTGCATTAGGAGCAAATATTTTCAATTCTGACACACACATACAGTATCATTAAGCACTAGGGATTCTGAAAGACAAGAACTCAACAGTAGGCACTTTTTTGTTATGTGTGGTGTTTCGCTACTGCACTGTCGCTAGTATTGTCACTACTGCAGCTCTCAAGTCCCTCTAATCCACAACAGGGAAATTACATGAAGTACGAGGAGGTATGAATAACACTATTGTGCACTACCCTAACTTAAAATTAACTTCTCAAATGGAGTTCAGGAACTGGCACATGAACTGATGTATTACAAAAAGAAATGAAAAAAACCCCCAAACAACAAAACCCCAACATAAGCCTAAACTCAAACCAACCAACCAAATCTAAACCTAAAATAAATAAAAAAAGAAAATAACATGAAGAAAACAAAGCTACAAGCAAGAATGTCATATCTAAGCCACAACCAAGATGAAGATGTGTTTGAAAACATGTGTCACGCAAGTTGTAGCAATAGCAGAAGAATTTGATAAGTGTTTTTAGAGAACAGCTAACTAAAGACATCTGCGAACACCAGTGCATTGTAATTACTGCCTCCAGCTATAAAATTCAGTAATTTGGTATCACAACTAGCATCTCAAAGGCTGCTGTCATGCAGCTGAGACCAAAGGAATATAAGCAGAAACTTCTACCAAACTGGATGAAAAAGAAGCCAGACAGGAAAAACCTTTTGTGTAGTCACCAAGGAATATATTCATTTGTCAACTTAAAGTTAAAAAAAAAAAAAGAAAGATAAAGCACTAAAAAAGAATAATAAAAATAGTAATAGGAGAGACTACACAAAATAAAATCCAGATGTGAAATTTTAAGTTTAGTAAGCTCCCTGCTCTTACTTATAGCATCCTATCATATCAGATTGCTAAAAATACTTAAAAAGAAGTAAAGTTCAAGAACTTGAATGACGGTGCCACACATTCTAGTACTTTTTGTTACCTTCTTGCTAAAGAAAGAATCCAGCCATGTCCAGGGAGAGTAAAGGGTATCTCATGAACGGTGCATTTAATAAAATTTTGCAAGTTGCGTGTGAATGTACAATGTGAAACCTTATAAAATATTATTTTTCTTAATCCCTGGGAACACAAGAGGACAAGCGGATAATAGGTTTCTAGTAGGGAAGCCTTTGAAGAAGCAACATTGAAGCACAGTGGCCTCACTGCCCACATTTTGCCTCCAGTATTCAGGAAAAATATTTTCACAAAAAATATCCACCGTAAGCTGATGATGTAAAGGCATAGAAGCTGGCACATTTCTCTGCCAGTTGTGTAATTCTTACTCTGTCTTCTTTTAGTTGTTTGGGCAACTCTAGAATATGGTGTGCATTACTTTTCTCCTACCTAATACTGGTAGAATAAAAGAATTTAAAAGATGGTGTTCTAGTAAGTATGAGAGATTTCGAGAAATCTATTTTTCTTTAAATTTACTCTCCTTCCAAAAACTGGGAATAATTTACCTGCTTCCAAATATGTTGTTGGGGTTTTTTTTGCATTGACATTTTTATCCCTTTTTTACTCATAACATTGCATTTATTGACTACATTTTGTCCCACAGAAATTGCAAAATTTACAATAATCCACAGGTAAATAACTAATCCTAAATATTGCTTACCTTTCAACTCCTATTGAGACTTCAGTTATTCAATTCCTAATTCCTAATTATTCAATTATTCATTTCTTAATGAGACTGAATTTACCATAAATATCTGTATCTCTTCCCATATGTGCATATTATGTGATGCACTATGACTTGTTATACTGGACAGTACAACCACAAATAACACACACACACACACACATATACACCAGAAAAACAAATAAATGTAGTTCAAAAAGAATCACTGCAGTTACTGGGCATGAGTAGTGGAGAGATTGCAAACATCTGCCAACCATAAAAATACCAAGAACCAAAATGCCAGGAAACAAAGCTTGGGATGAGGA